GCACGCGCCGCTGGCGGGGGCGGTTGTTGGGGGCGCGATGGGGCTGCTGGGGGTCTCGATGGCTTGCGCTGCACGCCGCTGACTCACCGGGGGAGCACGCCGCCCCACCCCACCCCCCAGCCGCCGAGGGCGGAGTGCTCACAACGGCGAGGGGGCGGCCTGAGTGCGCTTGCGGCGGCTGCGTGTCAAAAACGTGCATAGTTACAGCCTGATCGCGGCGGGTCCAAGGGCGGCGGGCGGCAGCGCCTCTGCGCTTCAAACTCATTGCTCACCAGGCTGCCCTTCCGGCCCTAGGTGAGCGCATGACGGCAGCGCCAGCAGGCAGCGCAGCGGAGTCTGCGCACATCGCTGTCTCGGAATCTGTAATTTGTGCAGTAAAAGCTGATCGACAGGTGTAGATGTGCACGTGTGCACATGCGCGCGCCCCGGCGGCCCACAGCTGTCGGCCCAGCTGGCCTATGGCAAGAGCAGCGGCTGCTGGGCAGGCCCGGAGTTCATGAAGCCATGCTTGACGGTCTGCGTGCCGGTACACTTCAATTCACGAAACATCATCGCATCATAGCGCACATCTAGCGGGCCGATATAGCCAGACCGACTCGACCTTCTCCCGCGATCAACTAGGCAAACGCAATGACCGGCGTCCTGCAGCAGCTCCGATGGTGGCAAGGCGGAGGAGGGACCAAATCGTCCCTCGCATCCCGCCCCGGCTCTGACAAGGACCCTCGCGCGCCCGCGCCAGCTGCTGCGGCGGGCCCGCAGCAGCCCGCGCGCGCGCAGGCCGCGCCCGCCGCCGAGGACGTCCTGCTGTCGCTGCCCTCCGACCTCTACCCCGCGGCCTCCCTCCCTGAATGCCCAGAGGTGCGCACCCCTGCTCGCGCTCGTGCTCACGCGGCGGCTCGGCTTGGCTCGGCCCGGCCCGGGGCGGCTCTTGGGCGCTTGGGCCCAGCCCGCGGCGTTGGGCGGCCTTCCCTTAGCTGCCAGCCCCCGCAGCAGTCGTCCCACCCGGCCTTCCCTCCAGCCCCCTCCACCAGCCATGCACATTGAAGTAAGACACTCCCATTAGAACCAAGACACCCCCATTCCCCCGCTTCCCCACCCCTCCGCCC